AGTTTGTCTGTCTCGTGGGTCTTCAAGCAGGAGGAGGAAGAAGAGGAGGCGTACGACATGGATGGGGACGACTACGAGGCTGGGGCTCCTGTCGTGAAGCTCGGAGCTGCCACAGGGAGTTCTTGTTTCCATTTCGCCCTGAGCCTAATCTTCGCCACACATGCAGGTGTACGTGAGTCCAGGCCCCTCTGCCTTCGGAGGTGGCTAGAGGAAGTAGGAGTGGAGTGAAACACTCTTAGGTTAATGCAGCTGAGGCTGGTGCTTTGAAGATGATTCTGGATGTTTGGTCGTTTGCGTTTGAAGTCAGCAACGGTGCTCGTCATGGACTGCGCTCTTGCGCCAGTTGTAGTCAAAGCGCTTGTCTTGAAGGATGTGCATAGATTGGCACAGGAAAGCAAGAGTGCGCTGTGGCGGAAGTGCTCACACTGCCATGCTCTCCCTATGTATGTGTGCTTTGTACCAGAACAATGCAAAGGACTAGTTGCGGAGCTTGCAGCCGAAGAAGTTTGCCTCAGCCTTCCGGTGAACGCAACACATGGTCAGCCGCGAGAAGCATCGATCTGGCCGTGTTGATTTCTACCGGATGCTGACGGAGTGAAATAATGTTGCAAGGATGGCGCCTTGATGTGCTGGATGGTCTCGAGATGTTCTCAAGGCAAGTTGCAGCCCCTCCGCTTAGAACGCATGTGAACCGCAGGTCAGTTTCACTTGGGCCAGGCGCTGGCCCCTTGTTAGCATTCACTGCCAAATATTGGCAGAGATTTGCTGCCATGAATGACAGACGCTGCGAGCAAAAAGCACATCGGCGATGATGTGACATTGGCAACGTGGCTGGATGTTTGTCCACAATATCAGCCCTGGTTCAGAGGCAAAATGCACGTTATTTGGAGTCATAGTTTGTATCTCCCGCCGCAGTCTAGCATTTTTGCAGGCTCAATTCATGGACGGGTTCCCGCGGCGATGCAGCCTTTGAGAGGCTTTGACCGAGATGTGTAACAACAAGACAAGAGCTTCCAGGGTGTTTTTGGTGCTGTCGGTGCTATGGTGATGTGGAAACACAGTCGCTTTTGTGTTTGACCGTTTTTGAGGCCTCAACGCATGTGCCATTGCATGTGAAGAGATCAATGCATGTGTTAAGAACACCCGCTCAAGTGCGACCGCTCAGCATTGTACACACGATGGCCAAACGACATGACCGCCCGCAAGCGCACCCGGTCAAGTGCGCTGGCTTAGAACTGCACGCGCTGCCGCACAAGAAGAACACCTGTGCAAGCGCACCCGCTCAGGGCTGACGCTAGGCGCGCACACTGAGAATGTGCTGCTGCGCTGCCTTTGATCGGCGTTTCAACACCGAGACCCGAACGCGTCAATGTAGCAACTAACAGCTGTAATATCTTTGTCCGGGCAAGCCTCCCTCGGCCGTTTCCGGGTTGACGTCCGGGCAACCCCGGTGAACGTCGGCTGCTGTTGCTTTTGTTCTAATTTAGCTCTTGTTCTTCTGGTTCTTCTCTTTGCTCTTCTTCCTCTTCTTCCTCTTCTTCTTCTTGTTCTCCAATTGTTCTTCTTGTTATTATTTTTCGTGTTTTCCTGCTTGTTCCTTCTGCTTGTTCTTCTTCTTCTTCTTCTGCAACTGTTATTCTTCTTCTGGTTCTTCTTCTTGTTCTTCTCCAACTGTTTTTCGCCTTGTTCTTCTGCGTGTTCTTCTTGGTCTTCTTCGTGTTCTTGTTCATGTGGATATTTTTTCCTCCTTCCCCATCCTTGGCCCGCCGTCTCCGACAGCGTGTTTCTTGTCATCCGTGCGCAAACAGGTTGTTGCAAAACAAGTTACCTCCTTTGTTGGAAGCTTCTCCCGCTACAAGATCAACAACACCGCAGCTACCGCCGCAACAACAACAACAACAACAACAGCGACGACGACGACGACCACCCCCACCACCACCACTGCAACCACAACCACAACCAGAACCACAACCAGAACCACAAACACAACCACAACAAGAAGACCAGAAGACCCAGAAGAGTCACCCTTCAACCCTGCAAAGCGCATTTCCTATTGCCGACAGTGGGATTTCAGGGGATGGCTCCGAGGGTGGAAACAATTGAGGGCCGTCCTAAAACCCCAGTCTTCGGTTTTAATTATCGCCGAACAGGGAGAAGTAAAAGTTGTCAAAAGCTGTGCGCGCGCAAGGAGCGCGCAAGTGCGGCCCAAGGGACGCGCAAGGTTACATACAGTTTTGAAGGGTTTCATGTACTGATGTTGCCTAGCTTCATGAAAGGAGGTGATATTTTCCTGCTGTACTTGTGCCTTTCGAATCAGTCAGACGCCAAACGAAGCCAAAGCTTCTGCAGTCATGACTTCAACAATCAGCAATTGAGACGACAAAATCCGCGCAAGCCGCGCGCAAGCCGCGCGCAAGTTGCGCGCAAGCACGAGAAGCCCCAGCAAGACATCTAGCCATGCTGTCTCGGATGTCCTTAGCGGCGCGGTTCAAGCAATGGATAGGCACCCGCAACATGCACTTTCCTTCTTTCAGGCTGTGTCCAAGCTGTGTGGCAGAGCCTGCTGTTCTTTCTGTTGGGTCAAGGGTACTGTTGCTGGCATTGAATTGCCGGGAGCGACCTCAGCGGGAAAAGTCTTTGTGGGTTGCTGTGTGAACGACAAACACACTGCTTAGAAAAGCTTGCGCGCAATCCACACGAAAACTTCGCAAACCGAGGTCAACGAAAACGAGTTTCTGCGCCACTGTGCGCGCGCAAGTACGCGCAAGTGCCGCGCAAGTGCGGCCCAAGGGCCCAATCGCGGGCAAAGGAATATAGGACAACCCCCAATTGGTGATGCTCCTGGAGAGCCAGGTTTGTGCTCTGTCCAGGCACGCAGCAGCATGGGCGCCTGCAACTGTTCTGGTGAGGCCTGACCCTGGCTCCGCTGGGGTCGACCGAGCCGTCACGGAGCCGAGCCGTCGTTCTTGCTTTGTTTAAATCATGCTTTTCCTACCAGTCATTGTACCAGCATTTTATCATGCCGAAATGTTGATGCATCGCAATGCCGTTCTCTTTCAGCAGGAGACACCTTGCGCCAACCGCTTTCTCAGGGACCATGCTCATTTATGCTTGTGCACGTTACTCGCTAGAACATTCAAGGGCAGGTTCTGGCGACGATCGGTCTCGTGTTTGCGGGCCTGCAATTTGGCATCGAGGTGACCAGTAGCAATTCCTGAAGTACTTGGCCAAGTTCAAGCACGTGCCAACTGCTCCCATCCAAAAATGGTTGAGAGATGGCTTGTGACTTTGCAGCAGGCGACAGCCAATCCCACGCGCTTGATTGAACAATGGCGGAGGCCGGCAAATGCAACTTCGGAGAGAAGCAGCCGGTGGTAGCCTGCACGCAATGGGTTGCATGCAGTTTGAGGCATGTCAGATAGACAGGCAATCCAAGCATGCTTTGTGGCGCTGGCCAACAGTACCTAGGTTCTGGTGCCGACAGAGGCACTTGGGCAGGGTAAGGGGCATTGCGGCATTGCCAGCTGTGCAAGATATTGGAATGGGCAGCAGCATTGAAATCGGTTTGAACAAGTGAGGAACATGACAATGCGCAAGCACAGTTTGCCTTTGCAGGATCCTCCTGGAGGAACGGCCAGCAAGCCCTCAAAGCCTCGCCCGCAGGCGGGCGGTTGTGATGTATGTCCGAGGTGTATGATGTATCATTCCAGTCCCGCTGTGACCAGTTCTTCTTCTTGCCTCTCAAGCAAGGCAATTACACATTCGTACTCAGTCAACGGTACGATTATTGGTGACCTGTGTGAGGCATCTGTCAATCACTCCGGTAGGGATGACGGGATGGCTAAACCTGCTGCCTGCCGACGTTTGCTCGTCGCGTTCAGCAGGATGCAGGTGCGGGCGCCGCATCGCTGCCAAAGGCAGGAGCTCCAACTCTAGGAATTCCAATATGCTGCGAGTGGTATGGTCGCAACATTTGGGGTGACTGGGGCTCATTCATTCCTTCAGGCAACCGCGACCGTCTTTCATGGGAATCTGCCTGCCCATGGTGATGATGATGATGATGACGATGATGATGATGATGATGATGATGATAATGATGATGCTGACGATGATGATGACGGCGATGATGGTGACGGTGACGATGACGATGACTGCACTGGATGATGATGCTGATGATGATGATGATGATGAAGATGATGATGAAGGTGATGAATATGATAATGACAATGATGATGACGATGATTACGATGACGATGACAACGCCGACGACCACGATGATGATGATGATGATGATGATGATGATGATGATGATGATGATGATGATGATGATGATGAAGATGAAGATGATGATGATGCAGATGATAATGACAATGATGATGACGATGATTACGATGACGATGACGATGCCGACGACCACGATAATGATGATGATGAAGATGATGATGAGGATGAGGATGAGGATGAGGATGAGGATGATGAGGATGAGGATGAGGATGACGATGACGATGACGATGACGACGATGATGATAAATTCTTCAAAAGAAAGAGCACTTCTTCTTCCATGCATCCTTTTGGCAGGCTGCAGCAAGTCTTCCCATAGGCGCCAAGTTGCATTCACTTCGTTAAGGGATCAGTCAGGAGCTCGGCAACTGATTCGTTTGCACCAGGCCGACCCGAAGAGAAGACTGGCCTTCCGCAGGACCCGCAAGGGACTCAAATTTGTGGCATTCCATCTGAGCTCAAGGACACTGATGGATCGGTGGTGGAGGCGGATGTTTTGCTTGTTGCCTCAACCAGACACCTGAGCATGAGCAACACCAGGCAAATTTGACCAATGTAGAGAACTTGAAATTGTTTCTGTAGACTTTTTGCAGGATGTACGAATCACGCAAGACGATGGTTCAGACAGAAGCTTAGTCAGCCTTGTCTTGCAGCTCTGTCAGTGCCTATGAGCATAAGGTGTACGTTGGGCAGTGTCGAGACGGTGTCTTCAACGGAGAGGCAAGGCGCAGATTGGCACCACTGAGACTGCCAAACGAAACGCAAGTTGTTGCATCCACACACACGTGACAAGTCCCTTTGGTTTCACCTTGCCCAGGGCACGCTGACGATGCTTGATGGGGCTGCTTACGAAGGCCAATTCAAAAATGGCAAGAAGCATGGAGTCGCAAAGTGCGCCAAAGTGACGTTTTGCTTGGGGGAGAAGTCAAGTAGAATAAACGTGCTTAGAGCAAGGTACACATATGCTAATGGCGCTGTGTACGAAGGCGAGTACAAGGAGGCAAGACTTGGGGCCGAGGGCAAGACTTGGTTTGAATGCCATGGCCAAGACTTGCCTTCAGGATGTGAAGGAAGGCAAGGGCAGGCTGATCTGTGACGGCATTGGGACCTTGGCGGAGGCCGGAAATGCCGAATAGTCAGCAAGCTGAGCCGGTCAGTTGGACATTTGCGCTTCTCGCGCTTCTCCAGGCCTCCACTTACGAGGGCGACTGGCTGCAGGATTTGCAGGTGCCCTTTCTTGCTTCTGAGGCAAAATTTCATGTTTCTCCGGCTTGCCATGCCATGATTTGTATCAGGATGGTCAAGGCATCGAGAGGTGGGGCGATGGCTCTGTCTTCACAGGTTCCTTCAAAGATGGCAGGACTGCAGCCAATGTCCGCATGTAGCGTGCCTATGGTTTCGCGGTTCTTCACGTCCTCCCAAGTTGTAAAGCCTTGGCAAGGCAACAATGCTTATGTTCCGCAGTTTGAGCTTGCAGGGTGCCGCTATGCGACCGTTTATTCATGCACCACCCAAACTAGGGACCTTGAGTGGCTGTGAGCGGGAGGAAGCATGGCCATGGGAAGTTCATGTGGGGCGAGGGCTGCATGTACGAGGCGTGGGAGCGATTCTAGAGCACGCGTCAGGCTGTTTTTCCCAGAGGCCTCAAATCAGCCAATGTTTTATTTCGTGGCACCATGCAACCGGAGGTTATGACTCGTCAGACAGATCCGCACCGCCACAGCACAGCCTTTTGCTTCACCTTATCCTTGCGCCAGGGTAGCTTTGTCAACAATGACATGCACGGCGAAGGCGCTACAAGCATCATGATCTGGCATTGCAAGTGTTGCAAACTCACATTTTGCGGCACTGTGTTAAAAATCATCTTGAGCCACTGAGCTTGCCTGATTCGTGTCCAGCTAAGGCATCACATGCCAATCTTTTGATCAATCTTTCTACATGTCAAATGTCCCGACGTGCGCCATGGACATCGCTTTCCGAATCTGGGTCTCCCGCAGGTCGTTATGTTTGGGCGGATGGGCGGCAGTACAACGGGGATTGGATAGAGAACCAGATGTACCAGGCTCAGTCCACTTGAATCAGGCCTCAGTCATTTTGGTGTGTTTCGATTATTCTGAAGTACTTGACAACCCATCTTGCTCCAGCAATATTTGCTCACTTAGGCATGGTACCGGCACAATGCGGTGGCCGGATGGGCGTATTTTTGAGGTGCGCAATCAACAGCTTGAAGGTGGCAATTTGTTCGTTCAAAGTCTGAGACATGAGCAAGCTGAAGATGTTTTCCCAGCACGTTCTAATGAACACTTCTTTTAGACTCAGGGCGAGTTCAGCCGCGGCAAAAAGGCAGGTCGCGATGCAGAGTCAGATCACGTTTTGCGATTTGCAGAGTGTCCGATTTGCGATATTGAATTTTGCAGTTTTGCAGATGCAACATGATGCAACGTGCTCTCGCAATTTGCAATCTTTGCAGGAAGGCGAAGGCACTCTCACTTGGCCAGCTTGCGACTGAGCTTCCAGAGAGCAATTTGGGGCAAATAGCAGTCCCCCGCAACCTCCCAACGCTTTGTGTCATTCTCCGCGTGAACAAATCCTAGTCTACTCGATGGTCTTTTTGCTCCGTCTCAGTAAACTCCGCCGGCCTTCACAGGAATCGTGTAGTCCCATAGGCCCTGCTTTTGGGGTCAGAAAGGGGAAGCACACAACAATTGATCAAGCGAACATGCGGTCAGCAATCCAACTTCGACCGAAAGACTCCATTGCAAAAACAAGGGTGCCAACAAAATATGCCAGATGTCAGATGCAAGATGAATGTAATAATATGTTTCTTACGGGAGGGTGCACAGTTCCGGGAAGTACCTTCTAAGTCAAAAGCTCTGTGAATGCTTTGCGGGCTTTACCGGCCTCTCGGCGAATGGCTCTCGTGATGGCGTGCCGGCTCGTGTGTGTGTGTGTGTGTGTGTGTGTGTTCGTGTGTTTGCGATTGTTCAAAGGGTCCTTTGGGGCCATTCGATCAAATTCACGTCAAGTTGTGGATCCTGGCTCACCATTTCGCCAAAGCGTTCTCGTTACCAGTAAAAAGTGGAGCAAGGCACGAATTGACTTTGGTTGATGTGTTGAAGATGTGGCGATCAGCCACTGGTGACAAGATACAAGACGTGGTGCCGAAGAATCTTCCAGCCTCCAGCTTCCAAACAAACAGCAACTTCATGACATCAGAGATGTGGGACTTATAGCTGGGAAAATTGTTTCTGCTGTAGACACCCTCCAGTAGAAGGCAGGATATAAGGGTCGATGGTCGAACCATTGCTGTGACAATTCTAGCAGGGTGCTCAACTGACATGCTGGGCTGTCAACTCATGATACTTCTCCTTGGAATCCATTTCGCTCAGTTTCTCCGCTTTTTCTTTAATGTTTATATGCCTTACTACGTTACGCTTCAGGTTTTGGAAGATCATGCATGGAATATGCAGTGACACGTTTGCTCATCCTTACCGGATGATATGCACAGGAGGGATTCCCAACTTGAACAGCTTTCTTTCACATGCCGGTTGCCAGAATGACTAGACTGGTGAGTTCATGTTCACGCATCGGCATACTCCGATTCCGAATTGCGCTGTTCCGCCTTTGGAGTGGAAGCCCAGCCCACACCCAGGATGGGCGAACCTACGAGGGCCAATGGGCGGTGACCTGAGCCACGGGCGTTGATCGCGAATGAAAGAGACAAGCCAAGGTCAACGGAAAGCAGCATGGGATGGGTGTGGTGACCACCTCCAAGGCCATTGTGAACAGACGCATGGCCAACATGATCCATGCAAGGATTGGATTGAGTTAGTGACGGTTGGTGCATCAGGGCACCGGGCGGAAGAGCTACTGGAAAGATGGCAAGCAGTGGCCCAAGTGCGCAGGCAGCATCCAAGGCACAAGACTGCGTCTTGTGCTAGTTCAGTAGAAAGAAAAGAAGGGGCGGGCCCCCACGTTGATGCGACGACCTTGGCAGAGCATGGATTGAGCGCCAGGAAAATGCTCAAAGTATGATACCTCGCACTTGCCATTTGCTATACCCTTGAATGGACGCTTCACAAGATTTGCAGCATTGCACCTCGAGCCAGAATACTTTTTGAAGATGGGTCGGCTTGCCAAGCATGAAGGGCTGTGAGAAACCCCTGGATTCAGCATGGCAGTTGGTGTCTGCATGCAGTGATGCTGGTATTCATTCAGCCGGCCCGAGATGAAGAGAGTGCACCACACATCCGCACCACAGGATGGACAGTCGCACGCATGACTTTTTGCCTTTGCGCGTTGAGTGTTTTTGGAAAGCGCCGGCGGCTGCCACTGTTTGCTTTCGCGCTGGTAGCAGAGCCAAGGAACGATCAACTGGAGTGGCCGCGAGATGGCGCCGTGGTGGTCGATAAGGACGGCACCCCGAGTTGCTCTGGAGCCAGCCCGCAACTGATGAAGGAACCCCAACACTGTGCTATTTTCCTAAAGCAGCTTGGAGGCGGAGTAAGCGGACAAAAAAGCGGAGATTTGCCAAGAAGCTCCTGGGCGCCTTGCGTGGAGAGGCCTGGTCGGTTTGTCAGGATTTGACGACGGAGCCTGAGTGGGCTGCAAGAGCCGGAGAGTTGCAAGTTGCAAGCGCGTGGCTGCCGACCAGGAGGAGGGAGGCAGATTTGAGAACGAGGTTTTCGGCAGATCCCTGGTTTTGCGCCTGGCAGACAGCGGGCATGCGAATGGCGCTCCGGAGAAGAACGAACCGACGCGCTGCAGGAGCGTGGGCAGCTACTTTTTGTCGCAGTCGCCAGCGCAGAGGCCATGGATGGAGCTGAGGCTCGCTGCAACACCCTGGGAGGCGGTGGAAGCAGGGGATTGGATTCTGGAGGAGGCGCTCGCGCATGATGTAGGTTTGAAGAGCTGGAGCCAAGTCATAAGTGATAGAGAGGCGTCAGCCAGTCTACATCGCGGATGGCAAGACTACCTGCAGCAGCTGCAGCAGGATGCAAACAGCACGTCCACAGACAGATGAATGGCGATACCATATAAGGTGCTTCACTGCGAGGGACGTAGAGGAAAAGAGAACATAGCTTTGAAAGAGCAACGTGGGCAAGACGGTGCTTAGAGAGTTCTTGAGGACAGGAGGCGGGTTGTTTTCAGGGCGCTGCGAGGCAGAATATTCGGAAGAAGAACATTTTGATGCACCTGACGCCGCATCTAGCAGCACGCAGAAAGAAAATACAGCGGTGTGAGAAACCCTGGATTCAGGGCGGCAGTTGGTGTGCCAGGGTTCACTTCGACCCACAGGGCATCACAACATGGCAAGACATGACAAGAATGACTTGACCTTTGCGTTCTGTGCGCTTGTGCGAAAACAGCGCCCGCGGTTGAAACTTTTCGCAAGGGCCAATCAAGCCGGGTCAGTCCTTGAAGCGTGTCTTGCCACTGCCGGTGCTTCGGTTGTTGATGTGCGATGACCCCAATTTGAGTATGCTGCTGCGAGGGAACTTTTTTGTGCATTGATGCATTTCGGCAAACTCACCCGGCCAAGGTTCATCAACTGGGTGAACACCAACTGAGCTTGCCAGCCAGTACCTGTGAGCCGGTCTGGCATTCATGCCCTTGCTCTAGGGGTGCTTTATCCATTCGTTGCGGGGATCTTTTATTTCACTCAAACAACTTACACGAGAAGAACCGGCTGGCTTTGAGCACAATGCTGGTGGAGAAGCCTGGACAATCAACCCCTAGACCTGCGCTGTGCTGTCAGTTTTCCCATCCTCACTTTTTAGGCGGCCTTTGTTAGCGCCCGGGCCACTTTGCGAAGTCCGCATCCCATGTTGAGGCCATGTCCCCGCTTGAAAAGCTCATGTTTTAGCGTAGCATAATTAGCAGGGTGCTGATTGCCCTGGGCATCCTCACATTTTTCTTTTGCTATGAGACTGGAACCATAGGCCAAGGTTCTTGGTATCAGATGTGCGATGCGAGCGGCTCTTTCGCCTTCTCGGGTATGCTCGCAGATAGGCATTTTAATGCGTTGATCATGGCGGCACCCCAGCCTAACCTTGCTCGCCTTCGAACTAGACTCACGAAAGGCCATGCAAAGTACCGGGGTGGCAGCCGAGCAGGCGCTCAAGGCGCCGGTGCTCACCACGGACGCTCAGCGTCTTTCTTCAGTGCCACAGCGTGCTGTGTGCTGCCGAGTGGCATGGTCAAATGCACAGCACAACGGATCCTCCGGATCGAAGTGTGGGAATGTCCATGCCAAAAACTCGGCCTCAGCATGACTGGAGTCTCAGATCTCACCCCAGCTTTGTCTCACACATCAAGCTTCCGTGATGCTGGCAGATGGCAAATCCATAAATCCATTCAAGCTGCGCACAGGTTTGCAGCGGACATGGTTCTCAACCGGCATAGTTTGCTGCCACTGCCGCAATCCTGTACAAGTGAACCGCCAAGCCAAGCGAAGGACCAAGTTGATGCGAACAAAGGCACGGCTCCTTTGAAGTGGAAGGCCAGGTTAAGGCAGTTGCTGCACGGACCTGCTTTTGACACCGGAGGGAGAGCGTTCTCGGCACAGCGATTGTTCCGTGAGTGCTGCTTCGGTTCCAATTTGCATCAAGTGCTGTGATCGCAGACACAGTCCAGCACAACATTTGCCGAAATCAAAAGCAATCAATGCGTCTATGCCAAAGGCCCAACTCTGGAATCAGGGCGGAGCATCGCCATGTCACTGCCGCCAAATTGGCAGAGGCTTTTGTCTCAGAGTTCTTACGATCAGAGCTTGGCCGGGCTTCTTTTGGGCTTGATCGTTTGAGGCACTCGGATTGGCAATCATTCAGGAGCCAATGTGTGTTCTCGATTCCTTGCGATCTTTCTCGAGGTACACAACAGATGAAGGCAAGGAGTACTTTCACAATGTGCGGGATCTTGGAGCACAGGAATTCAGACTGAGGCGCGCTAAATTTTAGGATTTTATATCTTTAATTCACTGAGCAGCATGATCTTCAGCTCCAGTTCTGAGTTTGACACTGGATCAATTCCACAATGCCGCTCGATGCACTTGCCAACTCGTAGTGTATTTCGAGTTGAGCGCTGCTGCCAAGGCTGTCACAAACAAGACTCAGTGGGAGCGTCCGAGCGAAGAGGCGCTGGTGTGTCCATTTGATAAGCAGTTTTCCATGTACCACCTTTCAGAAAAACGGGGTCCACGTCAACCCTTGGAATTTTGTTTCTTGAGTATTTGCTTGGAATACCGTTTGAGGCGTGGTGGTTGGTAGTTGGAGGTTGGAGGTTGGTGGTTGGTGGTTGGTGGTTGGTGGTAGTGGTGGTGGTAGTGGTGGTGGAGGTTGGTGGTGGTGAAGGTTGGTGGTGGTTGGAGATTGGTGGTTGGCGGTGGGCGGGTGGCGGTTGGTGGTTGGTGGTTGGTGGTTGTGGTTGTGGTGGTGGTGTTGGTGGTTGTGGTGGTGGTGTTGGTGGTGGTGGTTGTGGTACTGGTTGTGGTACTGGTTGTGGTGTTGTGGTGGTGGTGGTTGTTGTTGTTGGTGGTGGTTGGTGGTGGTGGTTGGTGGTGGTGATTGGTTGTGGTGGTTGGTTGGTGGTGTTGGTGGTGGTGGTGGATGGTGGTGGTGGTGGTGGTGGTGGTGTTGTGGTGGTTGGTGGTGGTTGGTGGTGGTTGGTGGTGGTTGGTGGTGGTTGATTGGTGGTGGCTGGTGGGTGGGTGGGCGGGTGGCTGGCTGGGTGGGAGGGTGGGTGGTTGGCTGGTTGGCTGGCTGGCTGGCTGGCTGGTTGGCTGGTTGGCTGGCTGGCTGGCTGGCTGGTTGGTTGGTTGGTTGGTTTGTTGGTTGGTTGGTTGGTTGGTTGGTTGGTTGGTTGGTTGGTTGTGTTGGTGGTTGGTGGTTGGTGGTGGTGGTTGGTGGTGGTGGTTGACGGTGGTTGGTGGTGGTTGGTGGTGGTGGTTGGTGGTGGTGGTTTGTGGTTGTGGTTGTGGTTGTGGTTGTGGTTGTGGTTGTGGTTGTGGTTGTGGTTGTGGTTGTGGTTGTGGTTGTGGTTGTGGTTGTGGTTGGTTGTGGTTGGTTGTGGTTGTGGTTGTGGTTGTGGTTGTGGTTGTGGTTGTGGTTGTGGTTGTGTTGTTGTGGTTGTGGTTGTGGTTGTGGTTGTGGTTGTGGTTGTGGTTGTGGTTGTGGTTGTGGTTGTGGTTGTGGTTGCGGTTGCGGTTGTTGTTGTGGTTG